CCCATACTCCCCTCCACAGACGCAGGCTGACTTCTGAGTCGCAGGCTTCACCGGAGATAATGCCTGTTCCACTACCTAGGAAGTGGTCTGGAGAAGTGGATGTGCGAGGCTGCCTGCAGACCTAAACTAGCCACGCAAATGCCGCAGCGCGCATTCCCACGGGCAGTCTCGCCAGGCAGAGGCCGAGCTGGGTCCAAGGCGGGAGCTTCCCACGGTGTTGGCTGTCCAGTCACACACTAGAATATACAAGATATTCTTATGCGATAATGTTTCCCATCCAGACATGGGAAATTCTGTTTTATAAGTGTTGCTGTAGATGAAAGGCACATACACTGTGGTGTAAATTTTAAACTGAAGGCTGATGGCAGATACTTGGGCTACGGGAGCAGATAAGCAAGACATATCCTCAAAGCAGCTCCACAGAGTTTGGCTTAGGAGGTGCCCACACTAAGCTGGAATGAGAAGGACCCTTCTCTTGGTGAGCAAGGAATTCAAGGTAACACAATATGGTGAGAAGATGGTGCACTGTCCCACGCACACCAGAGCCGGAAGCCGCATGCACAGGTCTGACTTCCAGGATGACTGATTTTGAGCGATGCCCATGGAAGGGGATCTTGGAGGCTGGAAAGGGCTGTTGCAACAATCCTGAGTGGGACCAGGAGCCCAGCGAAGCCGAGCATGGAGGACGGAGCAGCGGCTTGCACAAGCAGGTTCAGCAGGGGTTCAGCTCCATCCATCCAGAGGGGCCCGGACTGCCCCTGAGAGCACGCGGACCCCCCCCCCCCCGGCTTATGGTCAGGAGGCTGGGCCGTCAACTCCCTCAGGGGGCATCCTGCTCACATGTTAAAGCCTTCATGACTTATGAGTTTAGGTAAAGGCGCTTCTCCTGCCCTTAGGTTGCACGGGTTACAAAATTGTTCTTACACTTTTCTCTGTTTCTCTCCAACCAGCCAGCACCACACACACACTGTGTAAACTAGAAGCCAATTTTATTTGCTGATATAATTTTTCCTTTACACTAGGACATGCCAAGGGGACAGAAAGTTCTGAACCCTCCTTTGAGGCCAAAGGTCTCGGGTATTAACAGGGAAGTAAGGGAGGCCCCAAAGGCAGGACAGGGAAAAGGTTTACGTCTTGAAGAACAAAAGAGAAAGCAGATAGTCTAGGTCATGAGCATCGTGGGAGAGATGAAATGGCCACAGGAATTAGCCACAGGGTGATGTGGGGGTGCTTGGAAATAATTAGCCATGGACCGCTAGCATTCCTATAGTTACCATGGTGTTTTGTAGTCTCACTCAACTCTGCTTCCTACTCACCTCTGGTACCCCCTCCAAATTCTGTTCATCTTAAAAACAGCAGATTAAGCATGTAATGTCCCTAAATCTCTGGGCTGGACATCTGAAATGAGATCTTATATCCTCTCATCTACTGTTTTCCAAAACACATTTACACAGCACTCTCACAAAAGAAAGATTATCAGAAAATGAAGAATGGAGGGTAGGAAAGTCAAAAGAATGTATCAAAACTTTTGGTAAGAAAATATTTATGTCCACAAGCACATGCCACACCCTCTCTGGGAAGATATTACTGGCCCTGAAGCTGGGTTAGTGGATCCCAAAATACACTTCACAAAAAGCACAGTTACCCTCCCAAAATAGTCCCTGTAATTAAAGTCTTTTCAAGTGGATTTCCTGTATCACCACTTGACATGTCACTTTTATCTCCTGGTTTCAGCAAATGTTGCCATATTGGGCCACGAAAGCTCTCAACAACTCATATTTAAACAAGACTGTACTGTCACTAGGAAATTGATGCAAATAAACAGGCCTGCATATCAAAATACCGTCTCAATCATCTGCTGTGAGATCGCTCTCTTCCCTAAGCACACGTTCATCACTCCAGATCGCTAACTGATTCGAAAGGAAGGATGAGCCCAGGCTGGAACAGCACTTCATGCAGGGGCCACCTAAAGGCAGGCACACATTTAGAAGCTGGGGCTAAAAGTCTGAAATATGAGACCACCTTTGTGTGCATCCAGCCACAGCTTTGCTGACAGTTGTTGGCATAAGGCTTCAGACACCCACCTGCCTGCGTGAATCACAACACCCTTTGGAGGAAAAGGTGATATAAGACTAGCCTCTTGGAAGAACCTGTGATTCTCTGAACAGACTTCATGTTTTCTAGTTATATATTTACATCCAATTAAATGTCAAAACATTCAAAATGTAAAACCTTCAAAATAATGAGAATTTTAGGCATCTAAATGCTTTTATTACTTGTATGAGGTTTCTCAGCCTCCACATGATGGCTGCCTTGGTCCAGATCACTGTGGAGGGGTGTCCTGTGCACTGTAGGGTGCCCAGCAGCATCCGTGGCCTCCACCCACTAGACACCAGGAGCACACACCCTTCGCCTCCCCTAGTTCAGACAAACTGAAAATGCCTTTAGACATGGCCGAATGTCCGTTTGGAGGGCACGACTGAACCAGATGGAGAACCACTGCTCTTTGAATATAAGTACCTCCCCCCACTGGCATGACCAGGAAAAAAATGTAGATTTTTCAAGGTACCCACAAGTTTTTGTTTTAAGAATTGCAAATTTCCCATGACTCATAATGAAGAATGGGACCTCTGATATACCATTGTCCTGAAAGATTTATAAACAGCACTACTGCTGCCTCAAACCAAGGGTGGCCTGGCCTTGTTTCAGTCAAGACATTGAAGAAGATGGATTTGGGGCCACCCCGTCTCTTGGGCTGCTGACCTCCCCACTTTTAGGAGCTCCAGTCTTACAAGATGACTCCTGAAAAATCCTTCCCAATCCATTACCAGGTGCTCAACACTGATTGTGAAGAAGGGATTAGGGTTGGTGTCTACTGAATCAACTACAGAGAGTTGGCCTGGTACACCTCCCGGATCAGACCACCTTGGGGCACTGTTTCCAGTGCCGGGCCAGGTGTGCGGAGGCACATGGTGAGGGAGACGCTGCAAGAAGAGGTGCAGGGTGGGAGGGGCAGGAGGAGACATCAGAAGACAGGAAGGCAATGGTTGATAGAGGGTAAATTCAATCCAGAGAAGAAAAGATGAATGAGAGAGAAAAGAGTCTTCAAATACCTGGGGGCTGATGTGTGGAAGGAAGGCCTGCCTGTCTGCTCGGCAAGTGACCGAGAGCGATGGCAGCCCCACAGACATTGATCAGAGGCCCTCCACATGCTGACTCTGTAGCAGGAGAGGGGGGCGAGTCTCTGTCTCATGGCGCACAGTTCACAGTTCAGTGTGATACTGAGTTCTTGTCTCCTGCCTTCCCTCCGTTCTTTAACAATTTGAGCAAACTGTCCAGGTATTTGTCTAACTGCTCGCTTTTTTCCATTTTAAAAATTAAAGTTTAATTAACATAACAGTAAAATTCACCCTCTTGTATGGTTCTGTGAGTTTTCACAAAGGCACACAGTTGTATAAACACCACCACAACTAATATCAAGAGCAATTTCATCACCCCCTAAAATTCCCTGTGCCCTACCGCTGTAGAGCAAGGTGCCCTGGGCAGAGCAAGCTCCTCACCTCTGAGAGAATTTGGATCCCCTGTCAGGGTTTCTTTGAAGAGGGGCTTTCTTTGGTCAGTGAGAGACTGGGCCAGACAAGCACAAGGCCATGTCCATCTCCTCTTGGATTTTATGAGAACAGAAGAGCTGTCACCTATGAACACCTGACCTTACACTAACAGTCCACCTGCAGCGACCCAGCTGATCCCTCCAAACCACAGGTAAAGGCCCTACTCCAACACCAAATGGTTTTAGTCAAAGCTCAGAAACTCCAGTCCAGTAAGTGGATCACTGTGAGGTCTACATAATAAGCACAGGCAAAAAAAGAGGTCTGGAAACGGAAGCCTAGACACGGTGACTGAGGCCCAAACCAAGGGTGTGTCTGCTCCCAACCCTTCTTTTTCTCTTTGTTTTGGTTCAAAATGACATTAACTCCAAAAAATGGATGACGGTCAAACAAAGTGATTGCACTTGGCTACAAAGGTGGCAAGAAGGATTTAAGTCAGCCACACTGTGTAAGAATGTGTTGGCAGGGTTAGAGAACAGGGGACATCCTGGTGCTTCCCACAGCATGCTACGGAGTGGACACCAGAGGAGGGACTGCGGGTGACCAGCTGACATCCCCTGGGACAGCAGGTGGTGGGGCCAACCCACTGCCAGGGGCCCTCCTGCTGGAGGTCCACACACCTCTCGGTGGCTCGACTTCAGTGGCAAACTTGCAGCTCCAAAACAAGGCTGTTCTGCTGCCAAGAACAGCTGCTTTGCTGAGCCCTGCCATGCCTCTGAGGTGGGTAATACAAGCCTCGTTTTGCCAATGAGGAAACTAAGGCTCAGAGAGGTTATGTAACAACCAGTCCGTATGGAAATCGAATTTTAATCCAGGTCTTCTGACCCTGGTGTCTGTCCTTGCACTACTGCCAGCAAAGCCTTCTGGTGGCTGCTGAACTTAACATTCTTGGTCTGTCCAGCCACCTCTAGGCTGGCTGGTGGGCTGGTGCCCAGTGTGGATTCGTAACTCCCCTTAATTTCCCATTCCCCAAGCAGCTCACTGCCTGTGTCTCTCACTACCGGGTTCTCTCTCATTTCAACAGATAGGTCATAGAATCTCTCTGCTTTGCAGACTTTTAAAAATTCTTCTGTCCCCCAATTTATTACTCTTACATTCCATGGATGGTTTAGAATATAAGCTAAGCTATCAAAGTTATTCTTTACCTGCATCCAGAGGCTTCCCTAAATCTAGACTTATTAAATCTTAGAAAACCCCATATTGCTTAATAATATCAGCAAAAACAAGCAAAAAATGTCATACTGAGAGAAAATACCAACTGAATGCCACATTACAAAATTTCATTTTGCCGAAGTCCAGTGCAGATATACACACACAGAACAAGAGGACAGCTCCCTCTGAAAGCACCATTCCACAGCAAAAGGTATCAGAAATAAACACAAGGACACTTACCAAAATTCCCCCAACTATCAAAAACTTTATATACACCACATGTCTTCTAATATGGCCGCTGGATGGGTCCTAAAAAACAATACAACAAAAGGAAAAATGCATCATTAAACAGAAGTAATTTAATATATACTGTGTTTCCCTTCTGGAAACCACATCTTCCCTGTTTTGGGCAACCATAAATGTACCAAACTCTTCCAGCCAGATTCCTCTTTGTTTTTACAAGGAAGATGAAATCAATATACAGATGAACTAAACAGTCACTAGTATCAAAGAAAAATCCGGACAATGAAATAAACCAGAAACTGTGCTTATAAATACTGTGTTTGAGTTTTTGGCCCTTTAAAATAATTAAAGGGAACAAGGCAAAAACACCTAAAATTGAACTCATAATGTCTTCTCCTCCAAACCAATTCCTCTTTCCTATTTTAGTAACACTCTCTTTTCTCCTCCTGGTTGTGGACCTCCCCTTTCTTTTCTGGACTTCACTTTATTATCTGAGCTGAGGCTTAGAACAGCATCTGGCACACAGCAAGCAGTCCCCAAAACCACTGAAAGGAGGCAGAGCCATTTTCTAAGGTGAGGGCTCTTTACCTTCTTGGGCTCTAACAGTCTAGAAATATGTTTCTCTGAATAATGTTTTCAAATGCTTGAAATTAGTATGTGAAATGCATAGGATTCAAAGAAGTCCTACTGATAGAGTTATCAAAATAGATAACAAAATTGTGATGTGTTTCTTTCAATATTTAAATGAGTTCCAGCCAAAATCTGGTAACTAATTGTAACTTTGAAGTAAATGGTATTTGAGGTCATCTGTAACTCTAATGTAACAGGAAAACCCAACTTCTATTATGGATAGCAAACAGCTAATGCTACTTTTGTAATAGAAGAAACTGTTCGATTTCAGTTAAGGGTTAGTGAAAATAAAGGTAATTTTTCCCATCCAAATTCACAGACCACCTGAGTCCCATACATGGGTCCCAGGTCATGTGCCCCACCGTAAGGCCTAGCTTAACTCCTGTCATCTTGAGCCCTTTCTACCTTGATTTACCCAATTTGATATTATCTCACCCATCTTTGTTCTCTTTTAAAAAGTTATAGTTGATATGAGTATTTTAAATATACTTACTGTAGTCTACTTTCTAAGTTATAAGTCTTAAAGTTGTAAGGAAGGGCCCTATTTATCCTGCCTTTCTACCCCTCCCGCGGCTGGCAGAGCTTTGTCTCAGAGCACTCACGACGGAATGGCCTTCAAGTCAGCAGTGTCTGAATCAGGGAAGAGTAGGCACTCCTGTCCTACTCGGGCTCAGCTAATAATCCTAGCGTCTCATCTCTTTGGCAGCTTATTAGGTCCTAATTATGTAGATGGGACACCCGAACATTCTATACTTAGGATGTGAATTACTGAACTTAGGCAACAAAATGTTGTCTTCCTATACTTCTCTTTAGAGTGAATACTTGGTCAATGCTGTTGACTGACAGATTTCCCAGGAACTGTCAATCTTTGAAATGACTGAAAGCTGCTGTTCAATCACTCTGTTGACATGTAGGGCCCTGTGCTGACATTACAATTTTCATGAAGCTTCAAGTCTAGCAGCTTTTCCTGCCCAGTCAAGGGTAGCTGAGAATCTCTCAACCTTTCTGGGTTTTTGCATAAACAAGGAAGAGCTGGTGCTTTCCTGCATGTGGGCACCTTGGTGATCCATGGAGGTGAGGCCAGCTAAGAGATGCTCTGGCTTCCCATTGGTCTCTCAGGTGTGAGCCCATCATTCAAGGGCAAGTGGGGCCAGCAGATAGAGCAGAGCATTTCCACCTTCCCTCTGAGTGATATCGTCTTTACATGAGGTTGGAGGTGGCAACCCCACCCAAGTGACCGTCTCAAGAAGGTCGGCTCAACACCTGGCTGCATATTTCACTTTCAGCCCCACTAAGTCTATGATGCTTAAACCTCGGGACGGACACTGTCCCTGTGGATCTTATCAGCCCTTTCCCTAAATAGATGCAGCTTAGGTCTTCTGTGTGTTTTTTTTGCCAAGAAAAAAAAATGACAGAGTAGTTCTTCCTTTTCAAATGAAGAGAGCATAGTGATTTTCTCCACTGACCACCACTCCTGAGAGCATGATGATCATGTGCTTTGGCAGAAATTCACCATGGCAGCATTCTCACACCCAACACCACGTCAAGTGATTTTTAGGACAAGTTGGCGTGTACGCCCTCTCCAATGACTACAACTGAGAGGGTGTCCACTCAGAGAGCAAAGGCTGGACTTGGACTCTTTCACACTTCAGGACATTTAAATCCATTTCATTTGAATTTGTTCATTTGGGCACACTAGATATATGATACTAATAAATAAAAATAGTTGTAAGATCATGAAGAAGGCAGCATGACTTTAACTTTTGTTACACGAACACAGATGTACACATCCTCACGGGTAAGTAGGAAGATGTTTGCAGGTGGCTCCATACAACACATGGCACCATGTGTACCTCTGGGTTCTAATACGCACAGCCCATTGCGTGGCCCCTGGCTGAAAGGTGACGTCCTCAATACACATTAGGGATGAGCTCCACTAACACAGATCTCGACTGCGTGGCCACTACTTCCTAACAGATCCCTTAGATTCCTCAGCCTCACGGGCAGGCGACAGCACTCCTGGGGGCGGGTGGGGGTGGGACGGCCTGAGGCTGGGGGACTTACTCTGATATTAAGATCTGCTGTAAAATTGTAACTAAGACAGTGTGGTATTGCGTATGGACAGGAAAAGGCCAGTGGAGCAAAATAAAAGGTCCCCAAATAGACCAATACAGTCACTGAATTTATGACAAAGAGGACACCTAAGTTCAGCAAATGGCACAGGATTCATGGTGTGCTGTGGGTTATTCTATTACCCCAAAAAACGTATTGGAGTCCTAACCCCCAGTACCTCAGAATGTGACCTTATTTGTAAACAGGTCACTGCAGATGTAATTCATTAAAATGAGGTTATATGGATTAGGGTAGGTCCTACATCCAATATGACTGTGTCCTTATAAGAAAAAGAAAAATTAGACACAAAGACAGGAGGGGAAGAAGGCTCTATGAGAGCAGAGGTCCAGATTAAGAGCAATGTGGCTGCAGGCCCAGGAGCATCAAGGCTGCGCACTGCACCAGGAGCTGGCAGAGGCGGGCAGGATCCTCCCCTGGCGCCTTCAGGGGGAGCAGGGCCCTGCCCACACCTTGGTTTTGGACTTTTGGCCTCAGAACTATAAGAGAATAAATTTCTCGTTTTAAGCCCTGCAGTTTGTGGTGCTATGTTACGGCAGCCTCAGGAAATCAACATATTGGCTGTCCTTGTCTGAAAAATGATTCTTCTACCTCACACTGTGCAAAAACCCACCCCACATGGGTGGAAGAACAAAATACGTAAGGTCAAATAACAATACTCTTAAAAGAAAACAGTGCCTTCATACCTCGCAACAGGTCAATATTTTTAAAGAACAGAACATGAGAAAGTGCTAACCATGGACGAACAATAGGATAATTAGCACTTTATTAAAATTAAGAATGTTTTTGCCAAATGATATCAACAGTGTCAAAAGGCAAGCCACATAGAGAAGACAGTCACATATCTACCCAGCAAAGAGCTCCTACAAATTCATATGAAATAGACAACCAAATAAAAAATGGGCATGTACTTGAAGACTTTCATAAAAAAGTAAATCCAAATGGCCAATAAACATATTAAAAATGCTCTAGTTTAGTCACCAATGAAAAGCAGAGTAACATTACAAAGCACGACCAATACACACCTACCGGACTGTCTAAAACAGAGACAACACCTACAAAGTGTGGGTGAGGACACAGAGCCAGTGGGGCCCCCAGACACTGGGGATGGGGTGTAAGCTGGTCAAGGGACTTTGGAGTAGGGCCAGTGTCTATGAAAGCCAGACATACCCACACCTATGAGCGAGGTCCCCACCACTGAGGAGTCTATCCTACACAAATGTTACATGTACTCACCCACTGACACGTACAAGAATGTGACCAATAGCACTATTTATTATATTTCCAAACTGGAAACAACCTAAAAGCCCACGTACAATAGAAGGATTAAATAAAATTTGATATATAGTTACACAATATAACAGTACACAGCAGTGAGAATGAACAATTCACAATCTGTAATAACACGGATGAATTTCCCAAGTGTAATGTTAAAGCAGACACATGAGTATGTTTGCACAGTTTTATTTGTATAAAGTTCAAAACAGACAAAACCAGTGAATACCAGAAATCATGCTATTAGTAGCCCTTGGTGGGAGGGTGGCTCGGGACTGGAAAGAGGTCTAAGGGGCTTCTGGCGCTCGGGTGAAGACCTTTCCCCATCTGGCTGCTGGTTGCGCAGGAGGGCTTGCTTTGTGAAAATTCATTACCAGTGCATGGAACAAGTTGTGCACTTTTCTGTATGAACGTCATGCTTCAATTAAAAAGAAAATCTCAATGGTTAATGCAGTGAAACCAGAAACAAAACAGAGATTTTTAAGTACTGAAAGCAGCAAGAAAGCAAAGCAGTTTAAGCAAGATAATTAAAAAATTTGCTCTCCTAAAAGCTAAAAAGTAACATTTCACTGAATTGTGTTTCTTATACACTTAAGATGACTGTCATGCCAAAGTCATTTTGTTATACATTAGGATGGCATGAAGCAAACAGTTCCAAAATAAAATAACAAAGTTATTTTACCTGATTTTTAAAAATGAATAGTTGGATATTCAAGCCCCATTTTTTTTTTTTTATCAAGCCCCATTTTTTTATGTCAGTTAGAAGAGTTTGCTGGGGCCTTGGTGTACAGTCCGCAACATCCCTAAATGTGAAAGCCCTGCAGATAAAGGCAATTTCTTTCTGTGTCGCAGTGAGCATTCAACATTTTCCCGCAGACTCCCCCATGAGATCAGGTCACTCCTGCCAAGGAGGTGACTGCAGTGCAGCTGGCCTTTGCAGCCTGGGGCATAAATGTACAGTTTCCACCGGACAGTCTGAAATACTGAAAATAACTCCCAGGATGCTGTTCCTGCCTTTGTCAGTTTCCAGA